ATTTGAGATGCATTTGATTTTATAGTATCACGCTCAGAACCTTTGTTAGAAATGTTGTCACGGCGCATGCGCAACCTAGCTCTTTGAACGCTAGCCTCAGACGGTGATATCATCGTTACAGTAGGCCCCCTTCCGGTTTGATAGGCCCCATCACTCTTCAAAGAAACATAATGCATCTTTTTCCCTTTAACTTTATGCATCATTTTCTTGGATTTTGAGAAAACATTTTGCCATTTATCCATAGTATATTAGACTCTCAACTGGTTTACTTAAATATGTAATCTCTTTTTAAAATGTAAAAGGCAGGATGTTGGGGTATTACTCGTAAATTCTACGGGTGAACCGTCTTTATAAGTCAAAGTAAAACTGATTTCATTAAAATTGTTTAGTCCTAAATCCAAGTAATATATATTTTTGAATTGACAATATGTTTTAGATGATGAAATAGTACGCAGGATTGTACGTGAAGTTGGTCCTACTAATGATTCACCTACTATGTTACAATATATGTAAATTAGCCCTTTATTAACGTGTTTACCTAAACAAATTTCGGTTAAACCGCAAGTCCAATTTTCTAATTTTTTAAATGTTTTGTAATTGGGTAACTTACTGGTAAATTTACTCTGAGTATTATCTGCGTAATAAATTAAGGAATCGTCACTGGAAAGATGTGCGTAGGTCTGTTTCAAACTCATAACTAAAGTAACTTATATTGTTATCTCCTTAAATACTAAGATGACAGTTGAGTCTATTAATTAACTCTTGGTCCGTTGGTCTATAGGTATGATTCTCGCTTTGGGTGTGAGAGGTCTCGGGTTCGAATCCCGGACGGACTCATTAATTTTAGTAAAAATCATTTCATTATAATTACTGATGTCTTTATATTTTAGCGATGTCCTTCACGTTAACCCAAGAATTGAAAGATTTTGGCCAAAACCGCCATTTTACTAACGCCAATCTCTTGTTTGGCAAACGACCTTTATATTTAAGAATGTGATCTATTTGAAATAACTGATCAGGTCTAGTGGTCACTCGATTCAATTCTTCGTTATAGAACGTTCCTTTTATGTCATCGTCATTATAATCCATCAATTTATAAACAGGTATACCATCCCTTATATATTTACTTTTAATTTTGAATATTTCACCTGTCCAGCGTGCGTGATATTCCTTCTGAAATGGATGGCGTAATGTCGATATACGCACTAAGTCATCAACTTTAAATTTAAATCTAGCCTTAGATTTTTGTTTCTTCCCAGTATTTTCTTTCTTGATGATCACGTTTTTTGTACGTTGCCTCCGTTCTTGCCTCATCAACTGTTCGTGCATAACCTCATATTGGGTTGCTTCATTCACGCTAGAGGGCGTCCTACCTATAGTTCTGTGAAATGTATTGTTGTAACCATCGACAATGTCCATTAGAACATCTACATATCGGTTAGTTTGTTTAGCAATCATATATCTATGTACTCTGTTAGAGATAGTCTTTATCGCTCTTTCAATAAAGTTACTTTTCTTTTCGTTCAAGCTGAAAATTTGAGTAATACCTAAACTTTCCAAATATACTTTCAAGATATTATTTTTAAATTCCCTGCCCATATCAAAACGAAAGATGGTGGGTAACCTAGCTTCACCTAAATCATCCAAAACGCTTTTTATACCTAAAAATGTTTCTTTTGCTGTTTTAGTTTTTAAAAGTTTGGCATGTACAAGTTTGCTGAAAACATCAATTGTCAAAAGTACATATCCATAGCCGTCGTTATCTGATTTTAATTTACTATAATCGATCAAATCAGCTTCCATCATATAATGGATTCCTAATGTTTCAACAGAGCTTCGCTTAAACATTTTTCTGATTGGTTTATACATAGTGTAGGCCTCGACACTGTTCAAATAATCCTTTACCATTTTTAATGTTATGTCATTTCTTAGTTCTTTGATACTTTTGTGAAATTTAGATGGGGACGTAAAACTACCCTTAAATGTTGGGTCGTTATACAGGGTGCTAAGATAACCTCGAACGTTCTCGTCCATATCAAGATTTGAAGTGGGATAAACTTATGATTATGTCCTTTATAAGCAAATTCTAGTTACTTATCAAAACCTTTCAAAGTGTGGATGTTTTGTGACTCTAACCTTTTGAACACACATATTAACTTAATTACTACATAATATGATGTATCTGTATTTATTATATATTATGTAAATAAACAAAATATAGAGTTAGTTTACATGATTCTTTATTATTAACAGAAAGAATTTGTATACAATAAAAATCAACAACTATCACTGATGTATTGTGAAATCAACCTCTCAAAGGAGTAATGTCAGACTCAGTTGATAAAGGGTCATCTTCCATGGTTTCTATGATGTCATCCCTGAGATTAGTGTGTGATGGTATGTGTCATGTTCATGAGATGTTAGTTGGCCCTCCAGTCTTATTTTCATTCCGTCTCCATTGATATGTAGAAGTCAAAGCTTCAACTTGAATACTATGGGAAAAATACAATTAGTTAGCATATCACTGATATATCTATAGATTTTGCTAAGTTTATGAAAATAACCAGATACCAACTTATGATAGGAAAGTCATGTTTAACATGCAATTTCACTTTTATCAAAATAGATTCATACTTGTACACAACCCACTTGTTTTGATATGTTATTATTACTTACTACAAATGATAATGTGCCAAGGATAAAGGAAGCTATGTAATCTACATCCCTCCCATATAGTCTGTAGCTAAAAATGGAACAATAAAAAACCAACTAAATTGTATCAACTTTATCACTATTATACTGCATATTATTTACAACTTTGTAAAATTCAGAGTGTTTAGTCATTTCAAAATCAGATCATATTTGATCAATTACAGTATATTGACTCTTTTATCAATGTTTCAAAACAATAAAAGGTTAATTACCATTTATAGATGTATCATAGTCTCCAATCCATAGTCTGTTATATAATGTACAACTATCACTATCAATACAAGTTAACATACATAAAGCAATAAACAACTTAATATACATTTCCATGTTTTCTAACTAATCTGCCAAAAGTGAAACCAATATTCCTGTTCATAATCATATCTAAAAATGGATTTGGCTAGGAACAAACTACAAATCCTGCCACTATTTTAACTCACTGATATTTCTGGAAGTAGATTTGAGGTTGGGACATTATGAAAAATCTATGTGGGTAAGCGACGTTTTGATCATTTGGAATAAGATATAGTTGTCAAGCACTCACTACCAATGATAAATAACAATTGTTCATACATGTAAATGATTATATTTTCACAAAAAAACTTTTTATGGTTTGATGATTTTTATAATAAAATGAAATTCCCAATCCAAATATTTATGTAACTGTTTTTTTTTTTATTAAATAAAATTAAGCAATGAGAATATTGTCCATAATTTCGAAAAGTGTCATTGTTAACGACTGTTCACCAGTAGCCATTTCACTTAACAAATCTTCTTCTATAGCTCCGTCACATTTCAAAACTTCCAACATTTCGTAACTTGGTAGTGTACGGGATGGTAACCCTAATCGACTCTGTAATTGGTCTTCCAAATAAAGCAATTGTGTTAGGTTTACATTCATCCTGCTCACTGTACCATATTGCTCAAGAGCCTCGTCGAAAAGTGTGAGACAACCGCCTCCCATATGTGCCATTTGACCAGGTGCATCATATTCGCATCCCATACAATTTAGAGAACGCATTTCACATACCCCACCATGGACTAAATACATAAATATAATCCTTATGTATGACTCTAGTATATTCTGGACTGATATATCCTTTTCTTGGACTGCTATATTACATGATCCGGCAGGCAAATTATCCAAACCTTCTCCCATATCATTAACATTAGGATACCAATTTGTTGACAGTGTTGACATATACCCATCTTCATAATTTATTTTGTAAATCTTGATTGTTCCCTAAAAAACGTTTATGAATAATTAGTACTGGTAATTTACTTACCATTTTTAGCATAATTTTGTTCCTTAAACATTGTTACATCCATTAGATTAATATCATAAATAAGTTGTTTTTTTTAATTTAAAAATTATAAAATGTTTACCCACATACCTATTGATGTTTTGCATTTTTCAGAACTGGGATGTATAGTCTATCATTATTATTTAACTTTATCAAAACAAACTTTGCCCATCTTCTATATTGCATTACTTTATAATGATCCATTAACAATTCCCTCTTTTCATTATTCATTGAAATTTCGCGTTTTGATATTGTAGATATTATGTTGGGCTGAAATTTAAAAAGAAAAATAACAGTACTCACACATAATTTTAAAAACTTTGTAAAACACTGATTAAAAATTAAAATATTCACTTACCATTACCATGTTTTAGTTGACTTTGCGATCCTACGCTATCCATGACCAATGTAAAGTTGTAATTCAGCTTTTATACATAGATTGCTTAACGACCGTTTCGAACTTGGTAATCGAAGTTGGGTTTATGAGTTTGATTATTCCTTTTTTACGACTTACAGCTGTCAACCTTCTCATCAAATTGCTAGGATTGTACCGTAAGTGCGGGCTGAAGCTAGATTATAAATTCATGATAAACCATCCATCAATGTTAATGAGACATTTATTGCCCATTAACCCATGTTATTAAACTCATAGAGGCTAATACGTACCGGGTCACGTGGCTTATAAATTGACCAATCACAGCGAGGTCACGTGATTAAAATTGACCAATCAGAGCGCTTATATTTGACCTCTGCCGAACACTTCCGGGTCGCTGTGCCTATTAGACTACTGGAGTGCATGTATTTAGAGAAATAGTGATCTCCTCTCAGTTTCATAGTTAACGAGATACATCATATTTTCCATTATCCCATTTGCCTAGTCAGAGACCCGACAGTAAGGTAAATTATTAGTAAGATATATATGATTAGAAATTATCATATTGTATTGTACTTATTATAATATTCCTGCATATATTTATTTGTTCAAAGGATGAGAAACGTGATTTGCTGTATGCATTTGGATGGGTAGATATGGTAAGCTTAAATTTAGACTGTTCTTACATGTATATCATCCTTTATTTTAAATCGTTATTAAAACATCTTTAAATGGAATAGAAGTTGATAGTCTTTCGAAATGAGTAAACTACTGAGACGAAATATGATGCCGATCATGGTTAATTATCATAATGAGAAATCTCAGTATTCGATCCTGTAGGTCTATGTTTTAGTTTGGCTTTTGATGAAATCATCTAAAAGGTAAATGAATACAAAACTGCTCTATTCCGGTCACGAGTACCATATTCTGAAACCCTATGCTAGTACATGTAATTAAAGATATCGTTTTATATAATATGTTTATATATTGTTATTATTTAGATGTGGACGGATCCTCGATTGAAATGGAATGCAAGTGAATTTGGCGACGTACATAGTATTGTTGTACTAGCAGATAACGTTTGGATACCTGATATCACGATGTATAACAGGTAAGATACACATTATGCAACTAGAATTCATTTAAGTTTAAACTAGTAGCTACATGTATATGTCAGGTATAGTTCAGTAGTATAATGTTCCTGTTGGGTCTTGTTCCATTGATATCGTTTTCTTACAGCGTTTCTTTAGTCGTTTTGTCCTTTCAGTTCACATTGTCATGTTCATATCTATAGTTTCTGCCACAAAATGAAGGTGGGCCTCCTTCATAAGTTCGATAACCGGAAGTTCCATTCCGTAGGTTTTAAAAACCCCTATAATAGCTCATAGCAACTATGTTTGAATTTTTATTTTGTCGAATTACAATAGATAGGACTTTTATGACAAGTTTGATAATTTTTTAAATCATAAGCAGGATTTTACACGGGATAAGAGGAGGCTGTCAAACTTTTGAGGCGGAGTGTATGCACAACTGTGAATGCTGCTCATACTTTTTTTTATAAATAAATCTTTATTTTCACATATTATTTTTACAGGTTATTAATGTTGTTTACTGTAGAAGGAGAGAGAGAGAAAGGAAGATTGATGATTTTTGTCACTTTGTATAAATTGATGATATTAACGCAAGAGTCTGCTACAGATATTCCATAGTGTCTCGTGTTGTTCCATTTTGTTGTTTTTCTTCGCTATGTATTTTTCTTCTTCTTTTTGACTCTGGAGGTATATTTTAAAAGGACCTAGTTCTGGTCTTTTGTCTCCTAATTTTCTTAAGTATATGAAATGTTTCATATGGATCAGTAGCTTATTTTGTTGTCTTTTTTCTCTACTGTATCCAAAAATAATGTCTTTATTTTCTGGTATGTTTTCACCTTCATTGGTGAAGAATGCTGCTCATACTTGGCTATTTGTTTTGCAGCCTTAATACTAACAGCTTCTATGACGATGCTGATGCTAGGGTGTTCCTGAACGACACGGGTGTTGTAGCATATTATCCAGGCGTATACTTCAGCACGTCATGTGTAATAGATGTTACGTATTTCCCATTTGATGAACAAATATGTTCTTTTGATGTTGCATCTAAGGCATATGACACAAGTATAATCGACCTTGTGTCTGAACCGTTTGCAAAGGCCGCCGACTTGGAGAATTATCACGAAAATCATGAATGGCATATCACCGAAATGTGGGTTGTTAATCGAAACACCACATATATCGATCATAGTACAAAGAAACTTAAAAATGTTCTGGTGACGAAACTACATATGAAGAGACAACCTATGTACTACTCAGTAAATGTAATGTTGCCGTGCATACTCTTCAGCCTGCTAAGCGTCGCTGTGTTCTTTCTTCCTGTTGAATCAGGCGAAAAGATATCACTTGGTATCGCACTTGTTCTGTCCTGCTTGGTTTTTCTCCTAATGGTGGTTGACATGATACCCCCAAGATCAGATAAAATACCACTCTTAGGTGTGTAATTTTCATTTTCAATCAATACCCGTTATATTTTCACATAAGTACATGCATTACAGAACGCAAATAATTTATACATTCTAAATTCACCCAAAGATACTTACCATGTGCTTTCAAAGCTGTCAATGTTAAGTTACTTACATGTTATGTTACATGTGCTTTTTCTTGTTTTTTATTGACTCTATATGCATACCTCATACTTTATATGTAACATGGTTGAATTTTTGCTTATATTTATTCTTTTATTGCCTTCATTCTAGGTGTATATCTGACCACAATGTTGGGGCTTACAACATCCTGTGTACTGTGCACGACATGGATACTAACAATGCATCTGAATATGCATACCCCATCCCGATGGATGCTAAACATAACAAACTGTATCGCAAAGATTGTTTGTATGAAACGAAAACCACCGCAAGATAAATCAGTCATACGTAACATGGACTTTGGAAATCGAATATTATATGAATGGCAGTTTATGTCCAATGTATTTGAACGATTTTTACTTATTTTTTTCTTTCTCGTGTTTTCCATCTCGACGGTTACTTTACTCTATATAATTCCAAATAAGGAACTAAAAGTACAGATTAATACATTATACTAATCCATTTCTTGTTTCGAATTATCTTGGTAAGTGAAACACTTTTCACAATTTGAAAGACTTCATTGCATGTCATATAGTGGCATGTTGAGTTGAACCTGCTTCGCCTATTATGCCATCAAGGCGATTTGCAACCCATCTTGCACACAAAAGTAGGGCGAGACCTATCTTTTACCGCTCAATCTCATTTACATCATTTATTATTCATTCATGTAACATGTTTTACGTTGTTAAATATTGGTACATCTGCGATAAAAGTAAATCACATAACTGTATCTTGGACATAAAATTTCCTTTAGAAAAGCATATGGAGTTTCAACAAGTATAACATTTATTTAGAGCAGAATATAAAGTAAATTTATTTTTCAAAAATAGTTTTATGGACACCCATTTCTGAAGTAATAAATTAATGTATTGTTTATGTATGAATAAAATTACAATGTAAATAGTAACCAATATTGATTTAGTTTTGATAATCTTGTATTTAAGAGATATTATTAAGAAGGAATGAATATAAATTTATTCTGATGGATAATATATATTAATGAAGGGTCTTTAGCAAGCTCGTCGATATTCTGTAAAGTCAATGCCGTAATGACTCTAGGAAAAGTACATTTCACCTTCAAAATATCAATAAACTATTTACTCAATCCCAAAACATCCGTGTCATTGTTTTCCACTTGATTCAAGAAATCATTATTATTGCAAAACCAACGTTGACAACAAAAACAGTAAAATAAATACTGATGGGTATAAGGTCGGCTGTTGTCATCTCTTAAAATGGCTGATGCCAAGTGTCGATTTCGATATTTTTTTATCGAATTAAACTATTTTGCTGTTGACATTCTGCTTTGTTAGCTCAGTCATATCAACCTTCAAATTATGGCATGAAAACTCTGAAATTTGCTAAATAGTTCCTATATCGGCGTTTGACGCCACTTTCCAACGATGATATAACGTGAATTACATGATACGATTACGTGGACTAGTCTGCATTGCTCTAATAAGCATACATGATGCATTATAAACTCCCATACCGTTAGTGTATCACATACCATGTCATTGGGAGGAATGCATGGTTACTTGGCCGGTTGATCAAGTGGAAAATGTATCTTTAGACCACGAAGTACACGCCTGATATGGGAACAATTTATCCTTTTGTGGAGTCTCCGTGTCATAAAAACTGATGGGGTAATTATAAATGATTATATTTATTCGACTTCATCTTACCATATTCGGGGAAGCGAATCTTGCCATTATGAGCGTTTTAGGGTGTTTGCGATTGGTATTGTTTCCGGTTGTAATGAATATATTTCTGTTTTCTACCCTGTTAAATGCCTTTAAGGTTTTCACTTTGGTACGATCAGCGAGGTTTACATAGTTTAAGGGCTGTTATATTATATTGATAGATGTATAATTCAATTACGTTATTAAACAAGGGGACTGTTAATATTCGTGATCGATTACAAGTTATGATGTGTAGTGAACTATGAACAAACCAGACCAATGTACATGGTGTTTTATTTATACGCAATCCCTCCTAAACTCGATGAACACAACATTATCACGTAAAATTCCACTTGTATATTCCATTCCTAACAAGCATGAAAAGTTACATTCAAATAGAAATTGTTATATCTCTAAAATAATACATTTTTGAATTATGCACTTTATGACTATTTTAGTAAGAGTTTTGACCCACTTCAGCGGCCCTCAACTCTGATACAGTAATTTTTGACACTTTTGAGAGTTTTTGACATTCTTTAGTGATATTTCTCGGTTATATTTACCGTCAATTCACTCTTTCTCCATTAGGATCTCTACATTTATGAACCAATTTTCTTAATTTTCTCGGCAAAAACATGTGAGGATGATTGGATGAATGCTATGCATTGGTATGAATTGTGGCTTATTAAAAGATACGTGTGACCTCTAAAAGTAAAAGTAAATTCACAATATTTCGAACATAAAGTTCTCGAAAACCACTTTTTGAAATTAAGAAAGAGTTTTACATATTACACTTTGATAACATTGGGTAAAACTACAATATAAGCCAACGTGGTTTAAACTTTATATGGGGGCTTAATGATTATATAAGGTTGTACAGTCCCCTCCATAAGTTTGGCAACATTTTCCCCCATTGAACTACGTGTTAAAGCCTCTTTACGTTTGAATTGTTATTTACTTAACCGGCGATGAAATAACTTATGATATTGATGGAAACGTAACTTGACTTTATTTTCAATACCTCCAAATTTTCTCAATTTTTTTCCTCAATTACAATAGGTCGAAAATTGATGATAAAGATGAATTTTTGAAAATCGTCATTCCCATGTAATCCAATGGGAAATGGATTCACTCTTTCTCCATTAGGATCTCTACATTTATGAACCAATTTTCTTAATTTTCTCGGCAAAAACATGTGAGGATGATTGGATGAATGCTATGCATTGGTATGAATTGTGGCTTATTAAAAGATACGTGTGACCTCTAAAAGTAAAAGTAAATTCACAATATTTCGAACATAAAGTTCTCGAAAACCACTTTTTGAAATTAAGAAAGAGTTTTACATATTACACTTTGATAACATTGGGTAAAACTACAATATAAGCCAACGTGGTTTAAACTTTATATGGGGGCTTAATGATTATATAAGGTTGTACAGTCCCCTCCATAAGTTTGGCAACATTTTCCCCCATTGAACTACGTGTTAAAGCCTCTTTACGTTTGAATTGTTATTTACTTAACCGGCGATGAAATAACTTATGATATTGATGGAAACGTAACTTGACTTTATTTTCAATACCTCCAAATTTTCTCAATTTTTTTCCTCAATTACAATAGGTCGAAAATTGATGATAAAGATGAATTTTTGAAAATCGTCATTCCCATGTAATCCAATGGGAAATGGAGGGTTCGGGGCAAATCAGGATATCTTTTCAGTAAAAGATTCAGCAAAAAATATTTTTATATAGAAAATTGAATTGTCTAACTTTTTTGAACACTAAGTGTTCAGTTCATTTGATGAATATTAAAGTTACAGCGCTTCAAAGTCATTTTTGAGAATAATTTTTCGCCTCCTGTGTTATTTCAATGGGAGAGGTTTTTTGAAAAACAATTTTGACTTTAAAGCCCTATAACTTTGTTGAACCTGAAGAAACATATCAATTTTTTGTTAAATAAAGTTAGCAAATTCAATTGCCTGTCTAACTCGTATCTTTTTGCAAGGACTCGGATGGATGGATATTCTGTCATATGACTTGCGGCAAACCGACCATTTCTCATTGGTTAACATGGGAATGTCGATTTTTCAAAAAATCATCAAATTTATCATCAATTTTCGACCTATTGTAATTGAGGAAAAAAATTGAGAAAATGTGGAGGTATTGGAATCAAAGTCAAATTACGTTTTCATCAATAGTATAAGTATTGTCATCGCAGGTTAAGTAAATAAAAATTCAAAGGTAAAGAGGCTTTAACACGTAGTTCAATGGGGGAAAAAAGGTTGCCAAACTTATGGAGGGGAGTGTATAATCAGAACTGCGCTTTATTGCGTAATATTATCTCATGGTTACGTAATCGTCCCTTATGATAGCCGTCTCCCCATGCCAAAAAGTTTGTAAAGTATTTTATATTGATATAATAAAATCTATAGAAACTTCTGTAATGGATAAACAATGAGGCCATTATTTTTCCTAAGACCCAAGACAAATTGTTTATCTAACTTAAACCACACAATGGGCACTTTTCAAAAAGTATACCTAGCCTACACAGCACAGTTGTTGAGTTGTCAAGTTACTGATAGATAATGCAATACGAACAGCGTTTCATTCTGAGTGGTTGTTGCCTGCTTTATCTACACAAATCCATTATATTTATATCAACCTAGAAAGCAATTCATCGATATTGTAATATACCTTTAACTCCTCGTTTTACATGTAGAGTTTATTCAGCAGCAACATAACATGGATGTTCATTCTTCAAAAAACATATTTTTCTGGATTTGGTTTTTAGTTGGATTTCCTGGGATGTGTATTTGTTCAAAAGGTAAGTATGGTACTGGCATTTTTAAATAAAATAGCATAATGACTTGCAAAATATTTGTTAATGATATTTTAATTAAAAGTAAATTAAAAGAAATGTTGACAACAGTATTGGCCTAACAGGCTTCATATGGTTCAAAAACTAACATTGCTGACATCACACATAAATCGCCAGATTTTCCCATATGAACGAATCAGCAAGGACAATCTTTGACTTTGGCCCTTGTTCTTTGACCTCATTAATTATTTAGGAAAATTCTTGCTCATTTTTTATCTATATGTAAATATGGGAAAGATAGGAAAAACATACTTTGAGAAACTGATTTTCAAATTTTGACAAATGTTTTCATAAAGAGTTGGTCGAATCACTTCCATGGATATCATATTTAAACTTTTTATTTACCTTAAATTCTACTATTACATTTCTGTAATTATGCATTATTGTAATTTAATACTAATGAAGTAACGACGAGCTGGCTGTTTGTCAATTCATGTATCTCATTCTAGATCTAGCTCTAGATAGTTCTAGATCCAAGCATCACATCATGTGATAATATTTCTTTAGAATTGGATAAATATTATAATTAGTCATGCACAACGGCAGTTATCAGAATAAAATACATATATACTTTTATCAAGCACCTATATTTATTATTAATTTTCATACAGGTAGGGATATAACCTTGAGATTCTCTTTGAATTATTGTCAGTCTTTATTTAGGAATATGATTAACCTAATATTGTTTAATTTTGCCAAATATACACTCATGAGGGTATCACGAAACTGTAGTTAAAGTTCAAACTTTATGTGGAAGATTTTTAAAAATATATTTTTTGATCAAGTCTTCCTATTTATTTTTCTTTGGGCCAGAAACAATTTACACTCCTGCTCATGCAGTAAATGATGAATAGAAAGGAAAAGAAGAGACACACACATGTACATGTGCTATCATTACAATAATTATTATTCATCGATAAAAATTATGACTTATTCCGGTGTTATACGATAACATCACAATAATAAAATACTTGATAGTAGATATAGTATACATTAACTTATGGACTGCATGTTTGTATTAAGGTAGATCTCCAATTTGTGCATGGTGTATTTTTCTGTTAAATAGTGACCTAGTTTGATTTTCTGTTGATATTCTTAATTTGCTTTTATATTTTATTTTTTGTGTAGTAGCGAATATCGTTTTGACTTAGAGTAGGCAATATTTAAATCAAGCTTAATACAATCAGCAAGTGTTGGCTACTCCAAATAATGAACGACCATTTGATTCTAATGAATTGAAAATTGTAATAAACAATAATAATTTTAGTAATAAAATGTCATTAGCGTTTCATTAATAACACGTGGTGTAACAAACAATAAGCAGGATTTCCATATTATTTTTGACTCTTCGAATTTTTAAAATGTAACACACCACTACAACGATATAAGGGCAACTTCATTCCATAATAAATTCATAGAAAATTTATGAAATGTAGATGTATTGATTTAACTATCTGATTCAATATAGGTATAGGGAATACCAATGGATGTAATCGTTTGGCAAGGAATTATACCTGGTCAGAAAAGGTGTATCTGTACTTATTTGAGGATAATGGATATGTGAAAAACATATATCCAAGTACAAGTGGTCCAACAGTTGTATCCTTCAGATTTGGAATACATCAGCTTGAAGACATAGTAGGTTTTAACTTTTTATTTTTTCGAATCATACAAGATTAATGATGTTAAAGTATGTCAAGAGTCCAGACGAAATGTCCATCAATAACCGCTATCTCGCTACGTCCTCTGGACAGGCCTAATGTATATAAGTTACTGCAAGGAAGCCTTTGTTCTCGCTTCTTCAATTCTCTTTTTGTTCACCTTTGTTCATGGTTGTTGAATGCCATGATTTCCACAGAACCTCATCTTTGACTTCCGAAGTTGGAGCGACTGAAACCTGGTTAATCAAAAATCCAGAACCTTAAAGTAATTGTATTCATATTATTATGAAACCATGAAAAAATGTTGTAGATAGTACCATTTTATGGAATATTTATGGACACGTAAACTAATTATTGAAGTATGATATTTCACTAATGCATTTATGAGTACATAACACTCAATTTGAATTACAGGATGAGAGGAACCAGCTTATGAAAGGTATAGGTTATGCAGATATGGTATGTATGCATGTTCTAAATCACGATCGAGAAATTTTAGAATAAGCACAAAATATCGAAAAAATCATGAAATAATGAAAGAATCGAATTATAAGTCGTTGAAGGATAAAGAACAAAGGACAAATCTCTCATTTTGTGAATAAAAAGGATGTTTCTTATTCTATTCCTTGCCATGCCTCTATTGTCTATTTTACTTTATTCATTAATGACATCAATAACAGTTCGATGTGAATTCAAGCTGAGTGCCATTGACATATTATTGAATATTTTTCTATTTTTAAGATGTGGAAAGACAGTCGTCTACAATGGAATAAAAGCGAGTTCGGAAATATTGATAGCATTGTTGTTCCATCTGAATTGCTATGGGTACCCGATATAGCATTATCCAATAGGTGAGACCGTTGTATGTAACTACTTACAATCACTATTTCCCTTAACTGATTTTCACATTGATAGTTCCATCAATTAAATCCATATCCTCCGAGCGCAGGGGTCCACACATCATCCGCTATGTTACTTTCCTTCTTCCCATTGTGAATGATGCCTTGTGACCCCTGCATTCGGATGATGGATAATCCGTATCGCAATAGCTAAAGTAGGCCTGTAGTTCCATAAGATATGGTTCCATAACACTGAAGTGGTTAGACTAAACAGTATTAAAACTTCAGAATATATGTGAAATAAAAAAAGTAAATAAAAAATCGTCAATGACATAAATCAATCCATTTCTATTTCCAGTCCATATGTGAACAGCTTCCAGCACACCTCTGACAGTCGGGCGCATATTTCATCCAGTGGGATGGTTGCCTATTTTCCTGGGATACACTTTACTACCAATTGTCCAGTTGATGTTACGTATTTTCCATTTGATGAACAAACATGTTGGCTATCGGCCGGAACGTGGACATACGGAAGCGATATGGTCGAATTAACGTCTGAGCCGTTTACCGGAGATGAAGCAGTGGATCTTCGTGATTTTGTTATCAATGAGGAATGGGATCTGACAAATGCCACGGTAGAACTTGATTCATACAGCTATTTCTGGCAGTTGAGCGGTGGCGACATCACTTTCAGTGAATCAATTACGTATATACACATAAAAAGGCGACCTCTATATTACACAGTGAATGTTTTGGTGCCGTGTATTCTCATGAGTATATTGAGTGTATCGGTTTTCTCCTTGCCAGCAGGATCGGGAGAAAAGATCTCCCTCGGGATCACTGTGCTCCTTTCCTATTTGGTCTTCCTTCTCATGCTAGTTGACAGGATGCCTTCAAGATCAGATGTAGTTCCTCTGTTAGGTACGTATCAACTACCGGTTGATCCAAAATAAGTCACGTCAAATTAATAGTGTATTAGATTCCAGAAAACCATTAGTCTGACGATTTTGCCTCTTTCCTTATTATTGAACATTTTGACAGTTATTTATAAAATAAAGAAATCTGTTTTCCGAATTCTCGCACTGCTTTTGAAACGTCGTAAAACGGACTCAGTCTGGCTGTGGTCGGGAAATTATATGTCTAAAATAATTAGCTGCTTCGTTTATAAACAGTCTTCAATACGTCCATCTCATTCGCAGTTCGTTCAGGTCGCACCACGTCGGTGTGCAACGTCGTATAACGCGTTCCTTAGTCTAGAAGGTCATCATGACCTGATTACAGAACTGTATGGTCGCCATCGAATTTTGAATCGATTCAAAATTCTAAATCACATTCCCCGTCCGGGAAAGTCCATGAAGTTCGTCAAAAGACCGTAGAACGCTGGAGCTACGTTCATTCAGTTCGCACACAGTTTAAAACCAGTTTTGAAGAACGCAGTGGCAACTTGTTTGATGTGATAGCTATATTTTTGCTAACTCGTTCATAAGCAGTCTTAAATACGTTCTTAATCAGTTTAAACCCGTTTGCAATTAGTTCTACCTCGTTCTCAATACGTCCTCAGACAGTTCAACTCGTTGTTAAAACGTCCCTAGTAGGTTGAAGTACGACGGTTCCGTTCGCAGTACGTCCAACTCGTCGTGAATACGTTGTCACTCGTTCTAATTGTAGAACGTATCGACCACGAGAACATTTTGAGCATGTTCTAAGTTCTAGAAGACCTAGCCGTTCGAGTACGGTCGATGAAGTTTGAAAATAGACCCCAAGCGGTTCTAAGTACGTCCAGAAACTAGTTTGGTGTGATAGTAGGGTTAAACAGCATTTTCCTTTGAAACAGTACAAAGGGGAGATTTAAAACATCATTAATTTTATTATTAGAAATCATGAAATTGCATGACCTTTTTCTTTGTTCTTGCTTTTGTGTATCAATTACTATTTCATTAACTACCAACGTTCAGTCACTTTGAGAGGGCAAAATTGATGAAACATTGCTGAGACATTTATTGCTGTTCATTTTTATTACTACTAATTCAGATAAATATTCTTTAACCAATACTGTGACCTTTCATAGTAAAAAATGATCAAGTTTCAAAATAACTAATTTGAATTTAATATTCGTTACTATATGCTGATGTATCGAAAATATTAAAAAATAAGTCAGATTGAAATCCGACTCATGGTTGAGCTGTTACGACCTTCTAAATATCAAAATCTCGTTTATTTTATTTGTTTTATTTGATATTTAAAAATATTCTCTAAACATTTTACATACCCACCAAACGCTTGACGCATTAATAAATGTATCGGTGTAAAAAACGTATTTGAACTCAGAGTCACATGGAAAACCAAAAGAACATGGTAAAATGTTTACAATTTTGGGATGTTTAAAACATTTGTGTAATATTGCTTCCTTTTTAATTATACGATACAAGTTTGCTTTTTATTGAATTGGCAGAAATTAGATCAAATATAATGCCATTTTGATACTACTGAAACAATCAGATCAGCTGTGGTATTCCGAAAACGTAATATTCTAAGATAATATCGAGATATTGTATGCTTAACTTTTGTGAATTTGTTTCAAGGGATTTACCTCTCTGTGATGATGGGTATGACCGTTTCATCCATACTTGCAACCATATGTGTTCTGAACTTACATCACCACCCTGGAGAGCCTCCTATATGGGTACAAACCACTGCAAAATGCTTGGCAAAATTAATGTGTATGAGTCACACCACAAATGATAAGACGCAAACACGGCGTACAAGTAAATATTTAGCCAAAAATATCCACGATGTTGCATTGGCTAATCACAGAAATACTGATGTCGACAACAACCCTGTCAATGCGGGAGATTTTGGTCATATTGATATCATTGATCAAATCAACTCCGCTGAAAAGGCAAGGAATCAAAATTGCGTTTCAACCAGTGCATCGGATAAATATGGGGAAAGTGGCCCTGATATGACAACGTTCAGTGAAAGATGTAACACCGCGAATAATTACAGCTGGAAACTTGTGGCCAGAGTGTTGGACAGATTGCTTTTGTTTGTGTATATTCTTGTTTTGGGCTTGTTGTTGTTGACGTTATTGTATATTATTCCTTATATAACAAGGCCTTTTCCTCAGCAAAACACTGATGAAGAAGAATAGAAACTGTCATGAAAATGAATAGAAATGCTGTTTGAAAAGACATGTGTACATGAAAAGGCCAAGTATGTTTTATTATCCTATGACAACTGAGGTTTCAGGTACATAACAGCAGGATATAAAATCGATATCTTGGGAGGAGCGGGACATATATATATATGTCCCGCTGTATATCTCCCGCACCAATATTCCCGGGAAAACGTTTTCGCTCACAGTCAAAATTCGTTAGAATATCTCGCTATAGCGAAACTACCAAAATGGAAGCAGACGGCGGTAGATATTTTCTTGACCAAAACGTCGGGGAATTTCTTGAAATTGAACCAGAAGCACTAAATGATAAATAATCAATGTCTCATAGATAAAAGTCACTTGTCATAGGATAAATTAGTTATCTGATGCTCGGTTTTGGATATGGGGTATATCCAAAACCTCCCATAACATAACCCTCATTTATGTCACAACCTCAGTTGGTTACATGTTGTTATAGTTTTTTGTTGACGGTGTTAGGCGTTTGGTGGTTGGAGTTCGGTAGTCGGTGTTCGGCGTATGGTAAAATTGGTAGGTGGTGACATTTCGCATGTTAATGCGCTGTTAACTTGTTAACATAGGTGTGCAAAGAATATCTGTTATCATATGGGAAATAATTTTCAATATGTATCATCTTGAACAATTGAATATATTCCTTCTAATTTTACACCGGCACGTAACAAATGCTTCTTGTTTAGATTTACAAGTGTTATATATTTACAATCTTTATATTTCAATCATTTTATGTCATTTATAACTTTTTTGTACCAATTATGAAAAATTACTTCAACCAGGAAGTAAAACAATTATGTACATTTCAATTTTTAACACGTTATGCACTTGAATCGTTTGTGAAAGTAATAAGTATGGAAATAAACTTTTTTAGTTCTGTTATTGTTGCGTGTCATTTTATTTTTGTCATTTTTACGTTCTGCCCATATATAGTTTTCAATTTTGAAATAGAGCAACATTTTCATTTAATGCTAACTTAGATGACATTCGATGAGTTTGGTTCACTTTGAATCATTAATCGCATCGCCTTCTTAAACCGTCTATTCATAGTCATATAAATAAGACAGTTGAGAATCCCATTCATCTTAACCAGTAGACCAAGAATATGATTGATCAACGGACTTGAGTTGACATTTTGACTGATTAAGTAAGGTCCGTTTGTAAGGACAAAAACGAGGAAAATCATAATCATAATCCTGGTATATTTCCAGTCAACAATTTTCGGAATTCTGAGATTGGCCCCACCAGCTTGAACAGCATGTGCTTGTTCATTCTGAATTTTCAATCGCTGACACCGCAATGTATACAGAATTTGCGAATAACTAAACATCATTACCAGCGATGGACCGGCAAACGCTATTATAACAACGATCTTCCACAGGGATACTCCCGAAGCAACGTCATCTGAACGGATGCAACATGTATATCGGTCGTCTTTAAAATCGTAGTAATTACCTCCACTGGTGTTCAGAAGTGGCTCCAGGAATACACATATCGGTATCACCCACGACATCACTATCATCAATGTCGTTGTCTTGGTGTTAAACACTTTCTTATAACTACTGTTATGTATCACTAAGCAATATCTATTCAACGCTATCAAACAGTAGTACATGATTCCAATTCCATACAATACATTGTACGTATATTCAAACGGTGCACAAAACTGGATGACAGTCGCCTTCGACAATCGATGAATTCCGCTAATGAGAAAGAATATGCTGTACAATATAAAATCGTTGAGACTGAGTAGAAACATGAATAAATTTGGAACTGTCCTCAGTTTTCTGATTTTCGCGATAACAATTATCACAAATATGTTTAGTATAACACCAATTGGAACAAGGACGATGGATCCTATACCATGTATATAAACCACGCCTATATATGCTTCATTTGACAGCGATTGTTCGGGTCCAATCGACGCATTTACTGTTACGTTCTCACCCATCGTTCCAATGTGTAATGCGTTAGAACACGTTAATACAAATGAGACAATTTTCAAAATTTCACAATCTTTTATTCAGGCAATTAATTAAAAATAATTATAAAGTGAGTGTATGAATGATCTATTGTCACAATCTCAGTTTGTATAATAACTATAATCATCGTGATGTTTGCACGGTGGAACATGATCTATTAATTGTGACAATTATTCGTTATACGCAATACGCCCCAACACCCCAATGAGAAACAACAAATTCACCCTTGGCGAAGTGATAAGCGCGAAATTGAATAAGGAAGAGATCGACGATCCTGCCAATAAATAAATAAATTTTGTGGACAAAATTTTGCAAAGTGGTATTTATGTAGAAATAGTGGGTCCTGGATTATGATAAAGCTCTCGATTGGACTGTTGGAGGGGGAAGAACGTGTTAAACATTTTTCATATTAGATCATGGTTTTGGGATATATATGGTCTGTTTCTCGTATGACAGGTTTACACTTAGAATTTCTTGTTAGGTTTCTTCACAGTTTTTGGTCCTCTCCTTTTGGCACTTGTGCCTAGATATCTATGTCTACACAAATACCACCTTACAAAATTTGTTAAACAAAATCTATCTATTTTGGTGGGATCTTCTCTTCCTAACTCAATTCCGCGCATATCACTTTGCCAAGGGTAAAATATCACATGTCTTCTTGAATGAAGTTTTCAATGAAACAATCAATCAGTGACAGGGTCCAAATTAAATTAGTTTGGAGTAATCTGTATCCGGAACATTGTTTTCATTTTTACTTGATCTTTACTAGCGTAGTTCTGTATTCGATGCATGGATACCGTACGTAGAATAAAGTATATGTAAAGTATTAATAAATCAAGGAGTGGTTTCAAATAAAACTAGACTTGGGAAATTGAACGAAGTTCAATTTCAGACTCCAGATCTAGACTTTTTTTTAGCCGAGTCATCCAGAATAAGTCGAGTCATCCAAAATAAGCTGAGTCATCCAGAAAAAGATGGATGGATGGACGGATGGATGAAAAAGGAAGGAAGGATAGGCTAGAATATGAAGGGACGATAGGATAGAATAGGAAAGAATGATAGAATAGAATAGGAAGAAGGAATAGAATAGGAAGGGGAGGATACGAAGGAAAGGTAGATAAGAAGGATACGATAGGATCACAAAGGAAGGATGGATGCATTTTTCAATATTTTCTTCTCTACTCTTGACTTTCTATCAGGATACCATCAGATCGATTTTTCTCGAAATTTCAAAACGCCATAACTTTCGAACCGGAAGTCGGATCGAAATTTGGTTTGCAGACTCGAATTCCTGGGAAAATTCTCCCCTTAATTCATAACTCATATGTTAAATTTTGAGAACTTTTTATTTTGACCTACTTTTCGGACACCATATCTCAAAAGTGGGTCGAAATACTTTCTGACGGCAAAAGGCTAACACTATTAGCACACTTTTTCCTACCTGTATACAAAATTTTGAAAATTCATAACTCATATGTTAAATTTTGAGAACTTTTTATTTTGACCTACTTTTCGGACACCATATCTCAAAAGTGGGTCGAAATACTTACTGACGGCAAAGGCTAACAATATGAGCACACTTTTTCCTACCTGTATACAAAATTTTGAAGCAAATCATTTAAATATAGTGTCAGAATCGCAAAAATAAGGAAAAACTATGAATTTGACCTAGATTTTGACCTAGGGATTTTGGTGTCCAAATTTTGAAGTTAGGTAGCCTTCGAGGTCCCCTTCTTGCATAGGCTTTCATTATTTTAAGCTGTACTTAGTCTATATCTCGTATTTTACACTTAAAAAAATCTTTTTTCCCATTGACATAACATGGGGCACCAAATTTAGCTATTTTTGAGCTTTCAAAATGTCATAACTTCCGAACCGGAAGTCGGATCGAAATTTGATTTGCAGATTCGGATTCCTGAGAAAATTTTATACTTAATTCATAACTCAAACGTTAAATTTGGAGATTTTTTTATTTTGACCTACTTTTCGGACACCATATCTCAAAAGTGGGTCAAAATACTTTCTAACGGCAAAAGGCTAACACTATTAGCCCACTCTTGGCTACATGTATACAAAATTTCGAAGAATATAATTAATCTGTAGTGTCAGAATCGCAAAAATAAGGAAAAACTTTGAATTTGACCTAGATTTTGACCTAGGCATTTTGGTGTCCAAATTTTTATGAAAAGAAGGTTTTGAGGTCCCTTTCTTTTATGGGCTTCCATTAGGTTTAGCTGTGCTTAGTCTATATCTCGTATTTTACACTTCAAAAAAATATTTTTTCCCATTGAATTAACATGGGGCACCAAAATTAGCGATTTTTGAATTTTCAAAACGCCTTAACTTCTGAACCGGAAGTCTGATCGAAATTTGGTTTTCAGATTCGGAATCCTGAGAAAATTTCCTATAAGACTAATATCCTGGACATTGGATTCGGAGAACCGAATTTTTGGACCTAGTTTTCGGACACTGATATCTCGAAATCGGTTTGAGATACTTCGAAACTAAATCGACCCTAGATTTTCTACTTTTTTATGAGGAACACAATGAAAAAAAACCGGATCAAAAATATTGAAGGACGACTGAGAAAATCGAAAAAAGTGACAAAGTACTGGATTTGACCTAGTTCTTGACCTTTGACCTAGATAAAAATTTGACCCAATTTCCCACCAACTAGATACTGAACCTAAATAAACTGTATTATGGTTCTTACTGGATACCTCATAGTTACTGAAAAAACTCCCAAAGAATAATAATAATAAGAAGAATACTGGCAAAAACAATAGACTCCAGATTTTCAATCTGGAGTCTAATAATATATAAAGCTCTTCATTATAACAGGCCTCTGTGAAAATATCATATGACAAAAAACAGAAACTTACATTTTGGATTAGCTTTTGTGTATGACAAGTATTTTGGTCGCACTATTTGTACTTATTAGCACTTCAAAATTAAAATAACGTCAATCGAGATATATTTACGTAAATGGCATATGTCAGGATCACATCCCTTTTTCTGTATTTTATCAGTTTTATTATAATTGCGGCTATAAAACCCAAAATAATCTGTGTGTGCATTAATTATCAACTTTACCATTTTTGCCGCCCGTGGACAAACTGAAACTCGAAACAACAGTATAACAGTATATAACAGTATAATATAGACAGCGTAACGTTCAACTAATTTTTAACAATTTTTGTAATTTTCAACAGTACAATATGCTTTTATTTCTACTCCATGTTCTCGGTGGATTGGCGATGGTAACGGGTAAGTGAAACAACTGAACAATTCGGGAAGATATGAATTAGTTTGTTAAAATGGTAACATTTAGCTAGTTGGTGCAAAATAACCCGATACTTAATTAATCATAACGCCATGTTGTTGAACGGATGTACAATAAGGCCTTTATTCATCTTTTGTGATGCTGCACTGATGATCCATTCGTTTACGCTGGTTTCGTTTCGGTAACAAAATGGCGGAACCTAGAAGGTAAGATTTTTTCTTTTTTCCTCGTATCACGCGTTGTAGGCAATCTTCACACAACATTTGAACACACGTTTATAATAGAAAATGTCGTGGAAATTCTGCCTACAACGCGTGAAATAAGGAAAAAGAAAATCTTCGAGTTACCGACATTTTGTTACCGAAACGAACCGTTTTGGTAACCAGCGTAATCGAATGGATCGCCAGTGTGCTGGTTGATGTACAAAAAAATAAAACGGGTAAAAGTAATTTCCACATTGTCTTCTTACAGCACAGGGTGCATCCATGAGGCGAGTTTGTTATTATACAAATTGGTCTCAATACCGTGTTGGTTTTGGGCAATTCTGGCCCGAAGATATAGACGCCAACCTCTGTACTCACATCATATACGCATTTGCCAATCTAAGTGGAACCAACATTATACCTAGAGAATGGAACGACGATGGACCCTCCGGGTTGTAAGTTTTGTTCTCTTTCTCGTGAACAATATCCGAGGATAACCTTGGTTTATAAGATGCAATGAAACTAATATATACACTCCCTTCCATAAGTTTGGCAACCTTTTTCCCCCCATTGAACTACGTGTTAAAGCCTCTTTACCTTTGAATTTTTATTTACTTAACCTGCGATGAAAATACTTATATAATTGATGAAAACGTAATTTGACTTTAATACCAATACCTCCAAATTTTCTCAATTTTTTTCCTCAATTACAATAGGTCGAAAATTGGTGATAAATTTGAAGAATTTTTGAAAATCGACATTCCCATGTTAACCAATGGGAAATGGTAGGTTTGCCGCAAGTCATATGACAGAATATCCATCCATACGAGTCCTTGCAAAAAATACGAGTTAGGCAGGCAATTGAATTTACTAACTTTATTTAACAAAAAATTGATATGTTTCTTCAGGTTCAACAAAGTTATAGGGCTTTAAAGTCAAAATTGTTTTTCAAAAAACCTCTCCCATTGAAATAACACAGGAGGCGAAAAATTATTTTCAAAAATGACTTTGAAGCGCTGTAACTTTAATATTCATCAAATAAACTAAACACTTAGTGTTCAAAAAAGTTAGACAATTCTATTTTCTATATAAATATATTTTTTGCTGAATCTTTTACCGAAAAGATATCCTGATTTCTGGTTTGCCCCGAACCCTCCATTTCCCATTGGATTACATGGGAATGACGATTTTCAAAAATTCATCAAATTTATCATCAATTTTCGACCTATTGTAATTGAGGAAAAAAATTGAGAAAATTTGGAGGTATTGGAAATAAAGTCAAGTTATGTTTCCATCAATATCATAAGTTATTTCATCGCCGGTTAAGTAAATAAAAATTCAAACGTAAAGAGGCTTTAACACGTAGTTCAATGGGGGGAAAAGGTTGCCAAACTTATGGAGGGGAGTGTATATATATATATATACAAAAATATAATGTACGTAGATAATTCAAGTGAGACATCTTTATTGCCAAAAATCATCAAATATCATTCTTTTATAACATAGTATATAATAGTCAATCATTTACAATAGTCTTACCAATAATGGTAATTTATTTAGGTATGTTCGAGTTAACAGTCTCAAAAATGCAAATCCCGAGTTGTCAACACTTCTTGGAGTGATAGGAGACAATTTCGAAGATATGTTAGCAACAGACGCAAACAGAGCTGAATTTGTGGCGAACACCATAGCCTACTTCAGGGAGCCGTACAGAGAATTTGATGGTATAAATCTAGATTTCAAAGCACCATCTGCATTCTACAGTGCTAGATTCGCCTTGCTTTTCCAGGTAAACTGTTTGTTGTGGTTTATGTGACATAAAGATTTGTAATTTTTGTTTGTAAATCTTTTTAATACTGATTTTATTTGATATAAGACAGAGGCTTTGTTGTGTAATGACTTGTGATCTCTCTCCATGTGGAATTGGATATGTTGTAATTCAATTTATAGCATGACGCATGTTAACTCAGTATGTCCTACACTGTAATAACACAGCTATTAAAGTCAGCTGTGAAAATAGCTGACTTAAATTATGGATTACTCGACACCTTTCACGTCATGATAATCTGTTTTCAAAGGCAGAAAAATGTGGAGTTTTTATCATGAAGGTTCAGTAAACATATTCTTTATATGCACGTGTATGATACTCTAGGAACTTCGAGCAGCTTTCGATGAAGAGGCGAATGCCACTGGAAGTGTACCACTTATTCTGTCATGCACTTTAAGCGGAAAGCTGACCGAAATCGACCAAGGATATGACATCCCGGTGATAGATATGTAATTAATTCAGTGGTTTTATTAACGTTTTCTCATTTTCTACAATTTCAAACACAAATTCTCAAACTGAAGATATAAAGAGGATACCAACGGAGGGTTTATCCTGAGGGATGATATGATATTTCCCCAAGGGACTGAAAAACCTGATTGGTATGAAATGGATACACTATGAGTAAAAATTGATACATTTATCAATGTCCTTTGAATATCTCTGACCATAATTCATCGTGTAAAATTTATATTGTTTTGTACTTGAGCCGTTTTGCTTTTTAAATGCATTTTCCAAGTCTTAAGAACAAGAAAATGAGTAACATGAAAAAAACGTCCTTTATATCATATACCTATATACCATTATGTCTACCTTATATTGTATTTGTTTATTTATGCATTAATCAAAAAGGAATGCAGACTTAATCAACCTATTAACGTACGATCTGTGGGCAAGCTGGGACGGTGCAACCGGCCACCACTCTCCGCTATTTCAACGCAGTGGCCAAGCAGCGGCAGCTTCTTATCTGAACTGGGTAAGACATGACAGACTTCAGCCGTTTGTTCACGTCACGTTCACGTCAACACCTACTTTTAGTGTTACACAAGTCTGTTTCAGTTGAGACCATCGTCAAGCTTGTAGATTGTCGTTCAGAAATCATGACGTCTGCTTGGGCCAATCCCTCCATTTTGGAAATCCTAATTTCTCTTTTGGACCAAACATTTTCTAGCTGGTTGGTGTATTTGTATCTACATTCTTAGTGGTTTTCACTTGGGTTCTACATGTAGATATATGAATTTGAATACGGTACGAGGCAGTTGGGTAGATCTTTTAAACCTAACATTGATCCATACATTTTGATTTTGGTGCTGTTCTCGACTCAATATTGGATACGCAAATTGTTTTTGTTGTTTAGGAAGCCATCGTAGACTATTATATATTACTTGGTGCCTCCGTGGAAAAGCTGAACCCTGGCCTGGCTTTCTACGCCAGAACATTCACCCTAGCTAATGGTTTAATTAATGGTTATGATGTCCCCACGTCTGGGCCAGGGGTAGCCGGTACCTGGACAGCCACAGCAGGGCAACTCTCATATTATGAGGTAATCTTCTTTTGGTTAAAGTGTCTATATAATGTATTTTTCGAACTCTATCCTGTACAATGCAACACTTGTGAATGGCAAAATTGGGTTAAGAAGGAGATGGTCATTCGGCATGCACTGCCAAATTTGCTGTCCCATGTTACAAGTTACAGAGGCTGTGGACCCTGATACTTCAATGCATTTTTCAGAGCTATCATAACCAACTATACTTTCTAGTACTTATATGTTACTTTCTTAGGTGTGTCTTGACTTCTTACCCGCCCCAGCTACTGTAGTGTGGAATGATGAGCATGTTGTACCATACGCATACTTCCAGGACCAGTGGGTCGCCTATGATAATGCACAGAGTGTCGGCAATAAGGTACGATATGCGACATACAAACGCATTATCCAGATAACGCAAATAAAGTGATAATGCTTTAAATTCAGTTTACTTTGTACTTGCTGGATAACCGCAAAAAGTTCATGGTGTCCAGAAAGTAAAGATACATATTCCATTATTTAAAGATTTGTTTGGCTTAAGAGGTAATATCCAGATTAAAACGTTAACGTCTTGATTGGTACTGTAATGGTGATTATGCTGAATATGGGTGGGTGAAACTATTCCCAAAAAACTTTTGTAATTAAGCTGAGCTGAAAGTGTATCTACAATTTTCTTGATTTTCAGACCCGTTGGGCGACTGAGCGAGGGATCGGTGGTGTGATGACATTTGCCCTTGATATGGATGATTTCGCTGACCTTTGCTCAGAGGGGAAATTTCCATTGCATCAGACAGTAATTGACAATATGGGACTGTGCATTAACGGGACAGAATGTGCATACGTGTAAACTGTCTTGAAAATGGTCCATATTTCGATGTTGTCCCTACACACAATTATGATACAATCTCATTCGGTCTTGGATAACAGGGGTTAAGTGATCGATCTGTTTGAATTTATTCCACCCGAATATTTTCATACTGTTTATCAAAGAGCTAAAATTTGTTATATCGCCCTCAGATAAAATACAAGTATATTCCTCTGATGTTTTATCCCAGAAATATGGGATAAAATGTTATAAGGAAATGTTCCATTTCTGCACAAACTGCACACAAGGAAATATTATACTCCATAACTTTGTTTATACAAATTTGGGATTAAATTTTATATTAAAATAACTATCAAGGTTCAATTTGAAAAGAAGTCTTGTTAAATATGCCCAAGGGAAATGACCAAAATTTGTACAGAACACAGCAAGAAAAGAAAACATCTAAGCGTACACCAAACTATAATCTAACGTGAAAAGAAACCATATAATCCTCTCCTACCATTTCAGTTCCATTATCACAAACTAACACTAAGTGACATTTCATAAATACAGAATCTTTTACGTGTTGTCGTAAATATAAATTGGTAAAGCAACACTAATAATATCAAAAATATAATTGCAGATACTAGTATTTACACAATGGCATACAGTCTAAAATGATGTGGGACAGACAAAATACAGGCTCGAAATCCATAAACATATTAGAGGTTCAACATCCATCCGCAATAATATTGTTCTGTAAAATTACATGGGGTAAAATTTTGGCACCTCGTCTGCCTCATGTTTGGCTACGTCCATGTAATGGTAGGCTAAACATACCATTAATTTAATGCTATTTACTTTGTGTTTTTTATCGGACGGAGGAGTAAAATCAACTTTATGTGAGTACTCCATTCTTATTTGCCCACCCTGTATATAACTTGGCCTTACTATATATGGTCTACCCGGGACTGTCGATTAGTCCCAAATACTCTGGCAACCAGGGTAAAGTGGCTCCCGATGTCGCAAATAGTCGTCCAGTTATACAGTCTTCATCTTGTTATCTCTAGATCCATGATCCTCAAGTACAATCTCCGGGTAGTTTAGAAAATACATCACCAAGAAAATGCATTTTCTAAAATTTTGGGGCTCCCAGAGGGTAAATTTAAATTATGAATTTTACTGTTAGATTTTTATGAAACAAATTGCCTACATCATTATGTATGTTGTAATATTATACATTAATTAATAAGAGGTACTAAAGTATTACTACACATTTAATTTTTAAATGTTATTATCGAATTCAAATATAAATCAACTATTTTAACTGAGCCAAGTATTGGATGATTGGAGGCAGTATTGATCAAATTTGCAAAGGGTTAATTTTATTCTCACCTGTCTCAACAAAACAGGAATATCCCAGAATTCATACAGTCATACTTCTCTTATGTAAACTATATCATTGATTGGCCAAGGGTTCATCTATAATCCTGGGAAGTGACCTCTTCTGGACGAAAAGCGTGGGAACATCTGATATGACCAGTTCCCATAACAGTGTGTCACCTCACTGTATGTACAGTGATCGCCTACTATTAAAAGTGCGTGATCAAAGACTCGACAAGATGCGCAAAATTCGAAATGTCGGAGGAAAGGTATGTTTGTTTCTCTTTTCTTTACCACCTTAATGACATTTTACCTACAGATGGTATTCCATATGCTGTATAAGAGACTCAAGATTCATTTGGTAACAGGATTCGGTGATTGGTTCAACCGAAATACCTGAACTGAGTTAATAAATGAAGCAAAATCAAAAAAACCGCCGAATGAAAATGTATATTTCACCAAATTTTCTGTTTTTAGATTACCAAAACCACAAAACCAACATGCTTATGGTTAATATACATAATACTTAACATTACATGCATATCAGACGTTCCAACTCCCCTTCAGTATCGAGTAAGAAGGATGTTATGAAAACAATTTACGATCAGCCAAGTGGGTGATTTTACCATGTGGATTCTAATGATATGTTCTTTGCATTTCAGAGTGGTTGGGTTTACATGATTTTACTGTCCTTCATTACGAACTCCTGAATTTCAAATCATTATAAACCACCTTGTAGAACATCATGAAGAAGAAGAGATGAAGATGAGAAAGATTACTGAAAATAGAGGCAAATCTAGAATGATAACAAGAAATTTCTCTGGAATAATACCAAATGAAGTGAAATCAATAAATAAACACATACTTGTAGAAAGTGATGAATTAATGACAATTTCAGTGATTGACAATAATCGATTGAAATCATCCAGAATCTCTGATTCAACAACTGCTACAACATCAAATAAAATTACCAATGAAATTGCAATGGAACGAGAATATCAATTAGTAATGAAATGACAATAAATGATTCTGAAATTACAATAGACTCTCATTCTCCAATAGTGTCCACCAGTTAATCTGAGATGATACCCCTCTGAGCAAAGCCTAAACTGGAACTTTTACTCGGTCCCATCGATCCACATAACTCTGTCATTAGAGGTAATAGCATGGTATTTTTTTCACATTTTGTAGAGTTTCTCTAAAAACGCTCACTGGTCGTTTATTTTGCATTTGATTACATACAATTCTAAAATTCTCAAGCTAATCACTTATAGACCTTAGTTGAAAATTGATCAATAAATCTACTGAATATTGAATACCTAAGAGGAGTTTTCCCTTATACCTGTCATTTATATATGACCCAAGTTAGCCACCTCGTGGTGAAACTGGGAACTGACTACTGGCATCTACTGAAGGTTATTACGTCATTACATTACTTATTGATACCTTGCTGCAAAAGAATGATTTAACTCCTCAATGAAATAGATAATGTACAATTCAGATTTTATATTTTATTACAATTACAATTACATTACAATTCGACAATCATCTTGGATGCCAAGGTGTATAGTTCTCATACTTTGGGATCAGAGGCGTAAAATAAATGGACTAAAATGGAACTTAAAAAACGGTTCCACTTGTAAGGTGTTACGCTTCAAGAGGTGTTTCACTTAGCAGGTTCTAGAGGTTCAGTGTATAAATCATTTAATGGTAATGTATTCAAATCTAGGCAGAAAAACAAAATGAACACACACACAGTGACCATTTAATTGACTGAATCAGTTTGGACATACATTTTGCGAGATCCCCATTTTCTTCTCTTGAAAAGCATAGATATGGGTGTATGGTTTGCTGAAACTCACGCTATTGGCTGATCCATTCGTTTCTGTGTTAAAATATTTATTCCATGTTATTGAAGGGGAAACGTGAATTTCATCATGGTCAAATGGAAGTCCAAGACCCTACCTAAGTATAAAAAATTAAAGAGAGTAAAAATGTTCTATTGTTTTTGATATTTTCAAGCTTTTTAAATAAAATAACACATATTGTATCGCATTTATATCTTTAAATTGTAAAATCAATAACATATACGAAAAATGGTCAAACTAATATATATTTCTCAAAGCATATGGGTGTTCTTGTGCCTACAAAACCTAATTGAATCACCAGTAGCCTGTAATATAAACACAAATAAATCTTTTAAAAGTAACTGTTACAATATATTTGAATTTTGCGCATCTTGTCGAGTCTTTGATCACGCACTTTTAATAGTAGGCGATCACTGTATATACAGTGCATCTGTCATTTCTCTGGAATGATGTACACTTTCCTCCAAAAGATTGAAAACAATTGTAGTACAGTAAAACCTGTATATCTGAACACTTGGCTAATCCGAACACCTCCCAATTTGAACATTTTTTGGTCCCGTTTTTTCTCCCATTGACTCAAATGTTTAAAAAACTTGAAATATGAACATCTCCCAATTTTGACAGTGAACAGTCATGTTTGAAAATTAACCTATCTAATCTGAACACATAAAATATCACATGTTCCATAAATTGATCAAATATTTGAAAAAAACTTGAACGATCTCACTCATGGTGGGGCTTTCTAGGATGACTAAATTCATTTGAATCAGATTTTTATGTCACTCTAATGCCAAAGCTAAGTAGTCAAAAGAACTATAATATTTATTGAGAATTTGTTTCTATTTCTTCAAAAAACCAAATCTTGCAAATGCAAAACCTCAAAATGTGAACACCTCCTAATCCGAACGCTCTGAGCTGGTCCCTTGGATTAGACAGATTTTACTGTAGGTACAATCCCCTCTAAAAGTTACTGAAATCACTGGCTGGGAATTGGTGTTCGCTTACACACAGGTGTTCAATAGAGTATACTCATATGTTCGCTGGGCACAGTATTTCACTAAAGAGATGTTCATTATGACAGTTTTACTGTACTGGGAATTGGTGTTCACTATACACAGGTGTTCAATAGAGTAGACGCATGTTTTCACTGGGCACAGATCTTCACTAAAGAGGTGTTCATTAGGATATTTTTACTGTACTGAACTCACTGGCTGGGACGGAATCGGTGTTCACTATAATATACACAGGTGTTCAATAGAGTAGAGGCATGTCACTGGGCACAGATCTTCACTAAAGAGGTGTTCACTATGACAGTTTTACTGTACTGAAATCAATCACTGGGAATTCACTATATACAAAATTGAAATCTGTGTATCATGCCACCCCTGCAAAATAATTGACTTGCCCACTTGGTCTCTTGGATCCACTTGCAAAATATATATAGTAGATGTGAATATTTTCGAAACAAATGAGTGATATATACACATATTTTGTACCAAATGCGTGACATAAACGGCAATTGCGTGCAAAGACCGAACGGAATGCGTTCGCTTTTTTCGCCATTCGGTATTTTACCGTGTTGGCCAGGGGGGAGATTCCCCAAAGATGCCCTATCATATTAGCACGTTCGAAAACAAATTTTATAAACAGGCCTCAATTTGCCGTTGAAATGGATCTCCAAATTTTCACTGTAGTTTTATGAGTATTCTTTACAAGTATGGATCGAGTAACTTCAATAGTATTACCGTAGGTTTGAAATGACGATGTTGAACTGATGCAAACGCCATTCCAACGATTTCGAATTTAACTCTGCGCATGCGCAGCACTGAGAGAGCATGTGCCCATGATTGTTCACGTGATCGAATCCTGCAATTTGATTGGAGATGAAAAAAGCACTTGGTGAAAAATGTGTATACCCTCTGGGAGCCACCAGCATGCATTTTCTTGGTGTTGTATTCTCTAAACTACCCAATCTCCGAGCCTTTCGTCCAGTGCAATCCGTACCTCCTGTGTGAAGGTACGCAACGAACGAAATGAATTTTGAGAAGGCCTCGAGTATCTATATACATTTTACTGTTAATGAATAATGTAACGACCCAACTATATGTAATATTTTTTGTGCCGTTACTTTTGTTTCAATTAAAGATTGGATTTGTAATCACTTTGTAATAATTTCATTTTATTAAGGAATTTGTTTAAATATTATCAATTAATTGGACCTGTCTCAGATATCAACTATAGCTATCTTGTATTTTGTACATTAATTGT